CCTATGAGCTGTAAATACTTGACAATAGCAAAAATAAAATATGACAATAATCAAAACCTTTTGCATAAGACAAATGCTTACGAACTGTTACAAATATTAAACAGTTAAAAAATATAATTGCTCACGTATGCAATTAAAATCGCAAGTTTTATGGGTAAAAAATAAATTTCCACTTTGTTACTCACTTTATTGTTTCTATAATTCCCAGTGCACCATCGTGTTTGTCCTAGAACATAAAAGAATACCATCGTTAATATTGGACTGTGGTTTTAGTGTCTATTAACTACACTATTGGTTTCTGAAATGATAATGACATACAATCAGAAGACCCCCCCCCACAAAAAAAGCAAAACCCATTCATCCAAGAGTTGTTTAATACCTGTTATGCTAACATTAGGTACTAACGACCCGTGATTCAACTAATAACACAAACGTCATACCTATTACGTTACGATAATAATACTACTGAGCATGTAGTAACGATTTAATAATTATTAAGGTGTCCAAAAATAGTCATTGTACCTATAAATTATTATCGATACCTTCGTGTGTGTTTCGACAGTTTGTAGGATCGTTCACATTACCTACATATTATCACGGTTAGCATTATTATTTATTCTACTCAGAAGTTGTCTCGTATAAGCGCGAGTTATTCTGAGATAAAAATATTGCACCCAACACACAGAAGGGAACAATCGATTCCAAAAAACCAAATCGAATAGGTACCTCAAACAATATCCGAACGGACGATTATGATGATATCACATCGAATAGAAAATTACATACACGCACGCACACACACACAAGTAATGTATATTTCTATACGTGTACAACTGACTACAGAGTTCATTGAACCGCCATCACAACACGAATCGACATTATCACGGATCGGTTGCGATTTCATCGTCACGGTGTATCGTTGACCACGAATATTGGTAATGGTGTGTAAAACGACGACGGTTACCGTTTTCGCGTGCCCTCCCCCCCGAAGATGGTAAAATCGTCGCTATAGCCCCGTCCCGCACGACAGCAGCAGCGTAAGTTGTACCGTGTGTAATGTTATCACTGTCGTTACTCACCGATCCTCTGCCTATGATCATGGGCCATTTGTAGACGACGGGATCGGAGCCCACGGGGCTGTGCAACCGCAATTCCATGTTAGCCCGACTCGAAAACACAGGCACACGGATCGCGCACCAAAACCACCACAGCCACTAATACACAGCACTAGAAGCGCACAAACGACTGACACGGTCGCACTATAGGCTATCGCGCCACTAAACACACGGCGGCGAGCGACGATATATTACAATCACGACGCTCTCTACCGATTCGACGACCGGAACGGCGATGATCGAAACGCGGACGGCAGGGATGATCGCGACATTTTTCGGTGGGAGGACGACGAATAGAAAAACCGAGGATAAATACGACGACCACAAACCAAAAAACGCGCTACGGGCGAGACTATTTTTTTTGGAGATGCGACCGTGATGGACGATGGTGCATCGACTGGCCCGAAGACGATTTTACGCTACTTTCCCGAACGCTTCCGCCACCATCACGCTGACCGTATCCGTCACGTACGTCGGCCTAACACAAATAAACGCACTTTGGCCATAAGATGGCGTCTCGGTCTGGCAGTGTGCGTCTCGACGTGTAGTCGTGTGTAAGTGTGTGTGTGCATGTGCGCGAGTGTGTGAGCACCAGTGAACGGTGCCACCAATCGTCGGCCGTCCGCCGGCATGGAAGAAACGCGAGCTTGCCCTATCGATCATTCCTGCGTGCGACCGGCAAGATACAGTTATCCCAATCATGATAAGAACTCAGTCATATCGTGGTACCAACCTTGAAAACAAAAATCCCGAAGTATTCTTTTTACTAGATAGAGACCGCACACTTGAAATACAGCGCACTCAAGTGGACAATCTCTGAAATTCTTCCAGGAGACAAAATATTATATTATATTATAATAAATAATTAAATAATAAATATTTTATATTAAAAGGAAAATTATTATATAAATTTATGTATATTTTTTTTTCTATTTTAAAAAACGTTTTTCTAAATTATTAGAAAATATTGTAGGTAGTCATTTTTTTAGCAAATTATTTAATATTTTATTTTATTGTAATATATATATTTCCTTTTGATTTGAAAGTTCATAATTTTTAAAATTATTGAATTGTTTAATAGTACAATTGGTCAGTCAAATGATTAATGAACCAATAGCTTTAGAAGCATTCAATCAGATATACAATAAATATGTAGTAATAGGTGGTTGAAAAGTAGATATTAAGTGACCTTGGCTATGTGCAAGTTCAAATTGACTTATTTTGAACGGAAAACACAGAAAATTATATTTTTGTATTTAACCAAGTCAGAATATTGATAATGGCTGATAAAAACTATAGTTTATCATATGATACAGTTTGTTCTATTTTTAGTTGGTCTATTGTTGTTATTTATATGGAGTGAGTGCAACATTTTTGGGTAATTTCAATTTATTTTTTTTTTAATACATTGACAAATGACAAGTGAGTCAAGTGACTTTATTTGACAAAACATTTTTGACTTAACCTAATTGTTTAAGTGTATAATTATTCTAAAACTATATAAAAAAAATGAACGATCAACAAGTGGACAGACCTTTACATTTATTAGATCACAATTATTTTTTACCAGGTATCTTTACATTTAATAACCTATTTATTTAGTTATTTAAACATAATATATATAATATATAAGAATATATAAGTGTTATAAAATAATTTAATTATTTATCACCTAATTTAGTTATATATCCAGACATTGTTGATGAAGTAGAGACACTAAGTTGTGGCGAGTCTGATGATGATGATGTCTTATCCGATGGAGAAAATGAAGGTGAATTAATTTAGAACCTCTGTTGTCTTGTCTAAAAAAAATTGGTTTTCTGTTAAAATATTTTTTTTGATTGTGTAATAAAAATTAATACTTATATATATTAAATTAAATAACATAGTTCCAGTAGAACAAAATCCCGAGACTTATACCATAATTCCAGGAGTTCAGGTTGGATCTCAAATTTATGTGGACAACTTAAATTTTAAGTACTATAAAAAAAGTTCTGTAAGAAACCGTTTGTAAGTCTATATACCTGATGAAAATTATAATTAAATTCATAAACATAAACAAGAATTCAGAAACAAGAATTGAAGATTCATAAACAAGAAAATATATAAAATTTACAGATTAGAGATACAACTTCCAGACAGGAAAGGTTTATAAAATCGCAAGTAATTTGTGAACAAATACAGACGTTGAATGTCGATGGGGATATACTAATGTTCCTCAGGAGGGCAGGCCATCATAACGATGGATATGTTCAAGGACAGATTGGTCCATTTCCTGTAAGATATTTAACTATGAATTTTGATAATATTTTACAAGTGAAGATATAAAATAGTTTGTAGTTATTTTTTCTGTTAACATTTTTACAGGATAACAACATTTAACTATAAATCTCCTGCTGGAAAGACGTTGGTGGCACAAACAAATGTTTTTATAGACTACCTAGGTATATAAATATACTTAATATGTTATGACAGTATGTGATAATCACAAACTTTTTTATACCTAAATGATTTTTTGTAATTGTGTTTTATTATTTATTTATATTTATTGCTTGAATAACTAATTTTAGATTTTAGATTCTAAGCAGAACGATGAATGTAATGATTTTACAATGATATGTGTATTGTGTATAAAAGTGTGATTTACATTTTATAATATACCTGCTATTATATTATGTTTTAACTGGAAATCTTGAAATGAAGAAAAAGATTTTAGATTGTTATTTGTCATAATAGATTTATAATTATTATAATAATTTTATAAATAATTTATTTAATACCAAATAAAAATGGCTTATTTAAAATTATGTAATAAAATTAGTAAGTATACATAATATGAAAAGACTATATGATATTCATATTATATATTTGGATAATAAAATATTCAAATAGTAACCAAATTTAATTCAATAATACGTGAAAAAAAACATACTTAACCTAAGTTTGTAACATTTTACCCAAGATCAAAACAATTATCTAATACTTTATTTATTGTAATATTGTTAACATATTATTATATTATAAATAAAATACCTGGTTTGTATCGACCGTGCATTATGAAAAGTTTCCATATAGTCGCTGTGTACTGTGTAGTCACAACACTAACTAATTATTCAGTCACAAATATTATATTGTGAGTGTCAAATGTTAATTGTATATACTGCAAAGTGCAAGTGTTCAAAAAGTTTAAATTTAAAACCACTCAAATAACTCGTTATCGCCACCTTGAAAATATATTTGGGAATTGGTTATTTTGGTCATCTGATTAACTGATTTATATCAAATCACGGTCTTATTGATTTACCCCCATATACCGACCCCTTCCCATACCGTGATAATGAATAATGATATTAATATAATATTGTAATGTTATTATAAATATTATTTATATTATAATTTAAAAGTACCTATTAGCTATTTATAAAGTATAAACTTAAAATGGATATAATTTATAGGACGGACTACGTTTCGTACAGTATCTCACCATGAGCCCAATTAAATTCCCATTCGGAATTTTTTTTAATATTTGACGTTGGTAACAAAACATATTCCTTATCACGATTGGGATAACTGTACCCAGCCCGCGTGCGACATCGTTTCCTCGGGCAGGCGAGGGCCGCCGTGGGAAATCGAACGCTCTGCCGGCCGGCAGCACTGCTCGCCTCCGTATCTGGTATCTCGTGGACCGCTTTATTTACCTCGTTTTCGGCGTTTTCGACGTTCGGCCATTCGAGTATTCCACGGACGATTGTACGACACCAAACAAACACTACCTGGATGCAATAAGCTCGTGTTCGTTGTTCAGATCGTTTCGACTTTTATGCTAGAACTGTCGAGGACCTGAAGAATCTGTAGAATCCGAGCTTAAACGTGCCCAGCTCAAAAATGTCTGGAGAATTCTATTTGCGTTATTACATAGGACACAAAGGTACGTACCAACTTTGACTTTTAGTCGGTTATCCTCACAAAAAAAAATTGATATTGAAAAACAATATGATGCTGTCCGATTCCATTGGGTTTTTTTTTTAAATTTAACGTTCGGATATATTATGGTTTGATGTGGTTTATCTCGATATTTTCGTTGTAAAGTGACTTGTCTCAGGTTTTTACCATAAGAATTGGCATTCCTACAAGTTACAACCTACCTTTGCCGTTTGGAACTGAGAACAAATTGTTGTAATATTTTACAAATTCTTTTTGAAAAACTAGTTTGATTAGTATTTTTAACAGTATTATTGCTACCTATCGTCACATGAATATTATATGATTTAAAACAACATTGTATTAAATCTTAGGATATTTTTATTTCTTTATGTTCTATGCTCAACACTTGTCAGTACAATTATTGGAGCTATATTAACAATCGTACCTAATTTATAACCTTATTAAATATTATTTTTATTTTTGTGAAAATGAGTATCTACCTTCTTTAAGCAATACTTTTGCAAAGGGAGAGAGTACTTACATTAAATATAAAGTTATAGTTGTGTATTTTAAGGGTACCTATATTAGCTTAATGGTTATGTAAAATATGTGTATGTTTTCTAATAATATATGCAAAATGGTTGGTACATACTATTATACAAAGGTATCAATTAATATAGAGTAAATTTGTTTTATGGAAAATTATGGTTTTAAAAACATTTTATATCTTAAAGTATATTAGTATCATAGTAAATCTAATGTTTTATGAGTTTTTAATAATATATGTGTACATATGTAAAATTTATTACCATTTTTTATATACATTTGTAACTTGTATTGTTACTTTTTTAATGCCTACCTATGCTATGTACAATCGTGTAAAAAAACATAGGTATTTAACTAACAAATAAATTAAAAATATTAAAAAATGCACTTAAACTTAAAGTGTTATACTATTTTATAATAACTGAGAATATGGTTCAATAAGTAAATCAATGTTTTAATTTTCTAGGCAAGTTTGGGCATGAATTTTTGGAGTTTGAATTCCGTCCTGATGGTAAACTACGGTATGCGAACAATTCTAACTACAAAAACGACACAATGATCCGTAAAGAAGTGTATGTTCACCAACCAGTAATTGATGAGCTCAAACGTATCGTATCCGATTCTGAGATTATGCATGAAGACGATGCTCTGTGGCCACCACCCGATAGAGTTGGCAGACAAGAGTTGGAGATTGTCATTGATGATGAACATATATCATTTACCACTTCCAAAACTGGTTCATTATTAGATGTAAACACATCCAAAGATCCAGAAGGGCTCAGAACATTTTACTATCTAGTTCAAGATCTAAAATGTTTTGTATTTTCATTGATATCATTGCATTTCAAGATCAAGCCAATTTCATAAAGAGATCCTTTGATAAATAAATTAAAGATAATTCATTTAATGTTCTATATCAAAAAAATAATCCAAATGTTCTTAAAAAGTATGAACTAATTTTCTGTTTAATCATAGTATAAGTTTTCAATGTAAAGCCATTCTCTATTGTTTAAACTTTTATATATTCAATACCAGAGTTTTTGAAACTGTTAAGAAATTCAATAAAAAATACTAGGGATTGGTTTAATATTATATTTATTATTATTTTAAAAATACTAGTAGTTTAAGTTGACTTATAGTTATTATTTATAAATATTGACTCATTTTGATATATTTTCCATTTTATATTCACTACAAATTTAATAAAACAACAATTTTAATACCGAATTCAATTTTTAGTTTTTATGAATACCTATCAATATATTATTTGACTTAATGCAGACTTTGTAGGTTGTAGAGTTTCAAGTATTGAAATACAAGAATACAAAGTATAACTATTTATTTATCTATTTATAATCACTGATGTTTTTGAAAAGTCTGCTCTGGCCAGACATTTTTTAATACGTGTGAATCATCTAGTTAGGTATATGAAAGTATAAAACGCTTTATCGGCATCAAACAATTTAGTAATATTACAACAATCTGTGTAACAATTAAGAGGACACTACACTCCCATTTGTTTTCTTCGTCTTACAAGTGCGTAACAAATGTACGCTCAAGAGAATGCGTTTATCTCTGTTAATTTAAACATTTGAGTGAATCGACCTATTTTGAAACTTGATGGTAAGTGCATTATCTGTGTTTGTATGTGGATTTTTTACGATAGTTAATTTTTTTAGTAAGTTGTGCGTATAAAATATAGTGTAAATTAAAAATTTCTCATAACTCACTTAAAAACTGAATTAACCCAAAAAACCCACATACAAACACAGATTATGTTCTTACTATTAAGTTTCATAATAGGTCGATTCACTCTAATTTTTAAACCAACTGACTTAAACGTAATCTGCTGAGTGTAAATATGTTATGCACATGTAAGACGGAGACAGTAAATATCTGTGTAGCCTCTTCTTAAAATAAATATTATATATCTGACTAATAAATTGTACTCTTATATAATATTGGCTGTATTATCTATTCTATCTTTAATGTGAAGGTTTGTACAATGTATGAGTTTGGAATAATAATTGTATTTTTGTGTTAAAATAATTTTAAATTATAATAAATTATCTCGGTTAAATTTTATTTTTATATTTTGCCTTACATTTTTATATGATATTTAAAGAAAATAAACTCAGAACACATTTTAGCTCAACAATAGTTTATTTATCCACATCTAAGATCTAACTAATTTATTCCTACATAATTTTATATAATATTATACAATTTGGCCATTAAAACAATATTTTTAATTTCTCGATAAATAGCCTTTTTAGTCTTGGATACTCGTACATTTAAGCAACTTTCAAAATATCTACTAAACACAGTTTTTACCTTCATGGTGAACTAAATAATGTATTAACAATAATCCTTGATGTACAAATTTCATTAAAAATAATACTACAATTTTAATTTTAATTTAAAAACCTACAATTTATGACTATTTGAACATGAAATAAAATTGGATTGAAAGAAGGGATAGTTTAAAATTTTAATAATTATATGTGAATACAATATTTATGGAAGTACCTTTTAAATATTATATAGTGTTTTTGAAAAAATATATTAACTTTTTGTCTGTATTAGTAAACTTATTAATTTGTATCTTCCTTGCAGCTTCATGTTGTTGGAAAGAATATTAATTATGAACTTGTTGGAACTTTTCTGAAATATATAATTAATGGCTAATGCCAGTGCCGTAACATTGTAACAACCGCAGGGGCAATGCCCTTGTAGAGGACCACTAATCGTCTGGTCAGGGAGCCCCGCATTTATTTTAAATTTTTAAACAATTGCATTGTAATCTGATGTTTAAATAAAATAAAATATATTAAATAAAAATGTTAATTTTTATAATTTATTATATCTAATTTGTTATAGAAGAATGGGGCCCCTATTTATCCATAATAATATCTATATTTCAGATATAAGTTCTGAATTTACCAGTCAACTTATCTCTCTTGAGGAAATGATCATGGACAAAAATGTAAAAACAATTGTAAAAACATTTATCTTAAAAAATGATTTTTCTATAAGTTACTCTGAAGTACTAGGAGCCTGCATGTTATTCTTAGTATTGGCAGTTACAGTTGCCTCTGCAGAAAGATCATTTTCTAAATTAAAACTTATTAATAACTTTCTGAGCAATTCTATAGCACAAAATCGTTTGACTAATAAAGCTATACTTAATGTTGAACAAATTTGTACATCAGAATTAAATTTGGAAAAGGTTATATATGACTTTGCTAATTTAAAAGCAAGAAAAATGAATTTCCGTTCTTAATTTTAATGATTCTATTTCTATAGTAGGTACATATTATTATAAGTATTATGATTTATGACACATTTACAATGACTTGAACTAAGTTATACAATTTGTCAATTTTATTCCATACCTATTGTTTGTAGTTATTTTTTTCTATATAAATAGGAAATTTGTTGAATTAATATCTCATATCAAGTAATAAGTATGATAAATTGATATCTTATTAATTATTAGTTATTACTATTTGTATATGTTTGTGATACATTTTTTATCATTTAAATTTGGTAAAGATTTTTTTTTATATAATTATATGTTTAAATATAATATAGGTACAAACAATCTTTATGCTATGCAATACTTTTTTTAGAACCATATATTATTACAAAAGTTTTGATTAATATTTATAATAAAAAAAAGAACACTAAAAAGGTGGGCAAGTGGGTGTCACTCTGCTGTACAGTAGGTTACAAGCGGGTCACTGTATAATGGATGGTATTAAATTTGAATTCAATGATATAATATCATTGTATAAGAAAAACGATTCTGAGCGGTGACGGTATGTCAGTCTATGTATAAGACATATTATATACATATATATGGTATTAAACAAAAAATTGACCTATAATTATAGGTACCTATAACAAATTCCAAATTAATCATATCACAATATCCATTAGATACTTATAACGCGTTATACATCAACAAAAACCGTGATACTATCATAGATATATAATAGTACACTTTAGAAGTTTCAAGTACCCACGAATAATATTATTCAATCACAACAAAATAACTAAAATAGTTACCTATTCTAGGTTTTTTAATATGTAATTTCGTCCAAATTTGAATTTAAAATGTCTGTAAAAAATAAGTGTGTTCATATATTTTTTAGATTTTTTGGTTATAGTATGAACTATTTATGAGAACCTTTGTGTTGAATTTGTAATCCTTAGCTATAAAAACTGAACATTTTATAATTTATTAATTACAATGATTGATAATTTTCGAGATTTTGATAAATTTTGTCAACATTTGATCTTTAAATGCTTATAAAAAAAAACTGTGCCTATGTATTTTTAATATTTTTCAACTGCTATTGTAACAATATATCAGGAGCCTTGTATTAAATTTTTACACTTTTTGGCCCAACAGATAAAACTTTATTGATATTTATAGAAAAAAAAACTAAAAAAATTGAAAGCTGTAAATGTCCATAAACAGCTCAAAAAGAGTCAAAATATTTTCGAAATTGTATGGTGTATAGAAAATGCTAATTTAAACATTCAGTGAAATTTTCATGTATCTACAGTTGTTCGTTTTTGAATTGCAACAAAATAAGGAAATCAATACATGAGTAATCGAGTGAAAATCCAATGTTGTAAAAATTTGAATTTCAAACGCTCCTAAAAATTTAATTTGACTGTCCGGTAGAGATTTTTTTATTGATAAAGGTAGATAATCTTATAAGGAATTTTGTGTTTCATTTTCAAATCTTAGATTTAAAAAGAAAAATTTTTACTAATTCTTAACTCAAAATAATTTGCTAATTTTCGTGATTTTTCCATATTTTGTCAATTTTTGAACTTTAAATGCTTATAAAAATAAATTGTGACTAAGGATTTTTAATATTTTTCATCTGCCTTTGAAACAATATATTAGGAGCCTTCTATTAAATTTTCAAGCTTTCGCAACCAACAAATAAAATTTTATTGATATTTTTAGAAAAAAAACTAAAAAAAAATGGAAAATGAAAATGTCCCTAAACAGTTCAAAATAAATCAAAATATTTTGAAAATGTTATCGTATATAGAAAATGCAAATATAAACAACCAGTGAAAATTTCATGTATATACATTTCACATGTTCATTTGTTTTAGAGTTACACCAATAACCAAAATCGATTTTTTGGAAAACCAATTTTGCGTAAAAATTCCCGTTTTTCCTTAATTTTTATGTTGTTTTTCCCGGCGCTTGTGAGAACTAATGGGAAATTTATACTTTTGACCCCCCAAAGTACCAACTAGTTTCACTTTCCTATCAGAAAAGCTACTGATGAAGAAAATCCAAGCATTTTTACTGTCCCAAAACGTGATGACAGACACAAAAAAAAATAAAAAATATAAAAATATAAAAACACACATCATTGTAAAACCAATACCTACATTCATCGCTCCGCTCAGAATCTAAAATGTGTATAGTTATATTTTAATAACAATACCAGTAGCGCAACCAGAAATATCCTTTGGGGGGGGGGGGGGGGGTCCAAAATTATATTACAACAGATATAAACATAAATAATTATAATTGTGTTAATAATAAATGTATTTTTTATTTGTGTTACCATATTAATAATAAAATGTATATATAAAAAAAAATATAATGAAAATATATCAAATAAAATTATAAAATAAAGTCTAAACGACGCTTTAAATTCGATAAACGCTGTATTACTTCTTCGGACTTGACATCAATATCATAGTGAATATTGAGAGCAGCTAGTCCATTCAATCTCGATTCGGACGTTGAGTTTCTTAAGTAAGTTTTAATGCGTTTGAGTGTAGAAAATGATCTTTCAGCTTCGCAAGATGTGACAGGAAGTGTGACCAGTATTTGCAAAAGCTTAAAAACATTTGGAAATAAATCTGAATTGCAATTATTCAATATGTTGATGGCATTTTTTGTTTTAATGTTACTATCATCTAGATAACGATTCCATAGTAAAATTTCTGATTTCACAAGATCTCGTAGATTGTTTACATCGACATTCAATTTTTTTAATTCAGTAATTATATGATTCGCTAAACTTTTACCACTCACATCATGTACTGGAATAAATTTTAAAAAATCTTCACGAATATTTTTGTTTTTCTTATCATAATAACGGGCACATAGAGCAAACTGTTCAGTACCCGATATATCGGCGGTTTCGTCCGCTATTATTGAAAAAAAATTACTTTCATTAATTCTATTTACAATTTTTGATGAAATAATTTCATAACAAATGCTAACAATTTCATTTTGTATTTTCCAACTTATGTATTGTGCATTTCTACCACAATTTTCTCTTGCTAATATAAAACTTTCATCGCCGGATGTAGCAGTTGCCTTAAGGAAAAATCTCAATAACGCCAAACAAAATTTATTATACTTACAATATATTATTATATTCCCAAATTAATTAAAAAATGTTCCATTTTATAAATACTCAAGGGGGGGGTCTGGACCCGGGGACCCCCCCTTTGGTTGCGCCACTGAACAATACACTGGTCACTCGGTAGTGGGCCTTCATATTATACTTTTTATATTTTTAGACTTTTTTTTAAAAAAAATCACCATTATTATTTATATTTTTATAAGTACCTAACCTATAAAAAATATTATATACATAGACCTCGGGGGGCCCATATATTGACTTTGTCTGGGGCCCCAAGAATCCTAGTAGCGGCACTGGCTTATACTCATAATATGTTCAGTGTTTAGTCCCACTTCAATTATAGACTTGCCTAACCTCTGGCCTTTTTGTAGTTATTTTAATTTCATTTTGACATATAAAAAATTATTTTATATTATTTATATAAATTCCACATTTTAGTTTCCAAATTGAGGCTCTATTCGTCTTCTAGTTATTCAAATCATTCTACAAATTTTTTTTTTTTAATATTTTAAAAATTTAACAATTTTACACTCAATATTTATTTATTTATTTCTTAAATTAGAATCACTCATTTTGCTGTAAAATATTCAGTAGTTAGCAGTGGCGGATCTAGGATTTTCTTATGGGGTGGGATATAAAATATTTTCGTACATACTATGTATAGGTATATAAGTTTTATTCTATAGTAAATTTACAAAACTAGATTTAATTTTCTTGATGACTGTGCCATAGCATCAATGACTTCATCGGGTTTTACTTGTATTGCCCCACGAGCAGTAGCAGACAACAATGCCAATCGAAAAATCAAGGCAAAGGAAAGCTAGAAAAATAACTATATTAAATTGAAAAATAAAAAATGTGGGAAAGTGGATGTCGCTCTGCTGTACAGTAGGTGGGCAAGTGGATGTCACTACTCTACAGTAGATTACAAGTGGGTCACTGTATAATGGATGGTATTAAATTTGAATTCAATGATATAATATCATTAAATAAGAAAAACGATTCTGAGCGGAGACGGTATGTCAGTCTAGATATAAGACTTATTATATACTTATCTATTGTATTAAAAAAAAATTGACCTATAATAGGTACCTACCTATAATAAATTCCAAATTAATCATATTACAATATCCATTAGCTAATTATAACGCGTTAAACATCAATAACAAACAGTGATACTATCATAGTCCATACCCCATAAATATTTAATAGTGTACTTTAGAAGTTTCAATTAATCACGAATAATATTATACAATCACAACAAAATAACTAAAATTGTTATTCTAGGTTTTTAATATATAATTCGTATTCGTCCAAATTTGAACTTAAAATGACTATAAAAATAAACTGCGCGTCTGTGCTTATGTATTTTTTAGATTTTTTTTAATAGAATTAACTACTTACGTGGAATCTTGTTTTAAATTTTCAATCCTTAGATATAAAAGTTAAACATTTTATACATTTTTAACTACAAAATAATTATTCAAATTTAAATTTGATAAATTTTGTCAAAATTCGATCTTTAAATGCTTATAAAAAAAAATTGTGCCTATGTATTTTTAATATTTTTCAACTGCTGTTGTAACAATATATCAGGAGCCTTGTATTACATTTTTACACTTTTTGTCCAACAGATAAAGCTTTATTGATATTCATAGAAATAAAAATTAATAAAATTTAAACGTGAAATTGTCCGTAAACAGCTCAAAACAATTTAAAATATTTTGAAAATGTTATCAAGTTTAAGAATTGATAAAATAAACATTCAGTGAAATATTCATGTATCTACAGTTATTCGTTTTTGAATTACAACAAAATAAGAAAATCGCTACATTAAAAATCGAGTGAATATCCAATGTAAAAATTAGAAATTTCAAACGCTTATAAAAATTTAATTTGAGCTCTCTTAGAAGCATTTTTTTTTTTTTTTTGATAAAGTTTGATAATCGTATAAGAAATCTTAAATTACATTTTAAAACCTTAGATTTAAAAAGAAAAATTTTTATGAATTCAGAAGAAATATAATTTTTAAGTTGAAAACAATTAAACACGTTATATAATTCAATAATTGTTTTGTTAAAAAATGCCAATAACTTTATCTATAGGTATAGGCATAGGTTTAAAATAATTTGTTTTTTGTTAACGAATCCTCAACAAAATATAATTTAAATTTATTAATGTTGACTAATATTTTTGAAGGATATTAGATTTTAGGGTTAGCAACATCTCATTTATGTTTACATACGTCATAACCAAAATATTTTTGCATCGAGCACACACAATTGTAATTGTGGTACTGCAGGGTAGGTCATATTTACTAAGATATCTAACTCTAATAAATAATACGTTAAAACTATATACAAATAAATTAATATTAATTTGTCTGAAAGGTGTGAAGTTTGGTGTGACTGTCTTAGTGTCTTGGACAGGTCCGGTTTGAGCCGGTGTGCTACCGGGAAAAACCCGGTGGCCCGTTAAAAATTCGAAAGATTTGGACCGGCTCGAAGAAATTTTGAATCGGAGATTTGGACAGGTCTAGGCGGACAGCCCGGTAAGTAATTTCTTCCCAATCCGGCGCTGGTCTTGGACATGTTCTGTTACGTACTTTATTAAATCAGCAGACGCCTATTTCTATGGCGTCCGAATATGACATACTGCTATAGACTATAGTGCTATGCTATTGAGTTTGTAAGTAATACAAGTATAATTTAATTTTAAAATAATATTCTATGAACACGATAAAATTGTACGAGAAATAAATTTTTAATTATTATAATTATAAATAACAGCATCATATTATCATAATAGTAGTTATAATATAATATTAAAAAAAATTTAATAGGTACCTAATGAAACATAAATACTTTATATTTTACTAAAATATGGAATCTTTATAGGTTTTTAACTTTAATTCCTTTCTAGGCGAATATGGAATATTATCAGATCCTTAAAATATATCAATATATAACATACTTAAATACTTTATAATATATTGGTGGGCTGATAATGAATTAAAAATACTTGAGCCAATTATACATTGCTTATGGTTGTAAAACTATCATTAATTAATTAATTAACCAATGATTTTTTTTCTTGAGCCGCTTGCCTCCGCAAGTCTGATGGTATCATGGCAGTGAGAAAGGTTCCTAAGACGAGCGTTCCGGTTAAAAATAAATTGGCTTTCTTGTCTCCGGCTGCATTATTAATCCATCCATAAATCAAGGTGAAAACGATGCCGAATACTTGCACCACTGCATTTAGCATTCCACTGGACGTTCCTTCAGACTCTGGGTAGGTCAGTTCAGCCGCTAATTCGTACCCGACCGCTAAATAACCATTCATAAAAAACCTGAGGATGTATAAACATGAAGTTATATTTAGTAATTTGTTTAAAAACAAATAACAAACATATTATTATGATCAATATTTATTATTTTCACTCATATACCCAAGTAGGATTGCTGACAGGTACACAACCAATATGTGTCCGCAAGACAAGGTGAACGCGTAGACTACCATGCCGACCAACGAACAACCATACACCACTAAAGTAGTTTCTCTAAATTTTTAAAATATTTCACATTAGCGTAATTTTACATCGACATTAGGTAAAAAGAAAAAGTCTGCAAACTCACTTGAAAAGATGCGTTCTGTCCAAAATAAAACCACACACCACTGAACCCACCATTCCTGCAAGGACGATCGTTAGACCTATCCTGCCGACATCTACCAAGTTGTCCTGCAACAGGATAATTATTGTTATTTGTTACATACATACTGCAGCATACCTTAATAGGTATACGATCAGTCATCGATAATCATCCTTTAAGAGAAATCAAATAAATGTGTTCTGAATGTACTCACAGGAAAATGTTCCAATATAATTTGGTTTAGCAACGTGGAAATGGCATAAAACGAACCGACGTTCATGCCGTATGACAGTAATAACAAAACGAATCCGTAGTTGTACACTAGTCTCCACAAAGACTTAACAAAGTTTTTCGGATCGTTGCTACTGGTCGACCTCTGATTCGCTTGTGCCAAACTCGGTGGTAATGGCGGGGATGGCTTGACGACTGTAAACAGATAAAACGACTGTGAGATATTGTGCTGGAGTTAATTCTAATATTATAACTGCAGCGGTATTCAGTTGCAGCCTGGAGTAGTAGAAAAATTACGGTGGGACAGATTTTTAGAAGATTAGAGACCTAACCTAAGAGACAAGAGCGGTTATTATTTTATGAATTATTTTTTTTTTAAATCAAAAAAATATATTTTTGACTATTATCTGGGCACAAAATATCTAAAAGGTGGTAGGTATATAATTATACAGTATGAAAATTCCTGAAAAAATTTGTAAAAATCATTATAAACTGTTTGTGCACAAAGCACTATATTAAGCGCAAGTAGAATAAATAAATAATGGTCAAGATTCTTTAATTCTCAATGTGAAAAAAAAAACATTACCTATGTTATTATTCAACTTATAAATATCCGCACTGTCTATACCATTTAAAAGTATAATAATAATATAGTGTGAGGAATAATAAACGAGCCAATGTTTTTAAAAAACGTTCAAAGAGAAGGGCAGATTGAGACGGCATAATTAATGTTATCAATAGTTTTTAAACTTACAGTAGTATATTAGTATAAACACTAGTGTCGAACTTATGGCTGTGGCGTAAAACATTCGTGACAAGCCCGCAGAAATGGCGTACAAATCGCCGGTGTCTTGAACTAATAATGGTGGCAACAAGAAGCCCAGAGCCACACCGAACTGAAAAACAATACACGCTAGTAGTATATGATATTGTCAATTAATCATTACGGTGTGTGAAAAAGTACATGGTCTTTTAAAGTTTACATTCATAACACCAGATGGTACAGCATAAACTAAGACTTATACTTAAACTAATAATATTTAGGCGTTTACCTGATTTCCAAACACTCCGATTGAACATGCCGTAGACACTTCAGACGGGCCAAACCACACTGCTGCCAGGCGTGCCGGCAAGTTCAATATGAAAACTTGTGAACTAGCCGCAATCGTTTGACCCAACATGGTCATATAAAATCTGTCCGGACTGGAAGACGCGACTTTAAACCAGGCACCGATCATCGTGCCACACGAGCCGGCTACCATAGCCACGCGAAGTCCCTATATAAATAATATATAATACGGATTTTATAATATTATTATGTATAGAAAATTAATTATATCAGGGAGTCAAAACGCGTTTGAAACTGCATGTCCAATGATTTAATTCTACCTCGTGAAAAAGAACACAGGTCATTGTTTGAAAATCGAATATATTGAGTAATATGATTTTCACAAAGAAATATAGCCAGGTATCTATAAAAGTATTTAGTTATGAATCCTAAAACATTTTTTTTTTCTCAACATATTTACAGTCTGAAAAACATATGTATGGATATAATAATTGTAGACTATTCTGGATATACGTACTACTCTCCAAGGTTGCGAATAGCGAGAAAAGCTCTAGGACCATTATGTTGCTTAGATTTTTCGGTATTTTTTTTTTTGTGAGGGAAACATGTTTTTAAAAGTTGGACATTTTAAATGTTGTGTATTGATACCTGTATTAATTAATATCGTCGATCATGTATATAGGCATGGATTATATTTACCTTTTTTTCTAGTATCCACGACGCCGGGAATATAAGTGGTATGTAGGTGATCATGTATACGATGGATGTGAAATCCACAGCAAAACTCGACACATTATAAAATCTAATAACCACGTTTGATATGATGCTGTACTGTATCCATTGTACAGCGTTGATCATCGAACACAGGACAAATAGCACCAACATAAGCCATCGTCTTTTGTAAAGTTTACATTCTATGAAATTCGTCTGTAAGTTATGAGTCCCGGTGACCCCGTTGTCCGTAGTGCCGGACATGATTTTTGTTCCTCAAGACCGTTCACCTCGATGTCATAATTTGATCACAACAATATAATATACTGTTAACAAATTTTCAAAGTTTTGTTTTAGTAATTTTGTACTTGACATAAGTATTCTATGTATTAAGACTTTTACTTTTTGTTAACATTACAGTAACCACCTTTTGTGCAATTATTTGATTTACAAAATTGGTTCAATGTTTATATATTAATTATTAGGTAACAATATGTAGATAGATTATGTAGATATTTCAAATATGAATAATGATTAGTTAATTAATTGATAGAATATATACTTATCTTATCAAAGTATTAAAATAATAAAATGTATTATGTAGTCAAAATCACACATAATTGTTTGAATTAAATCAATAATAATAACTCAGATTATAATATAATACATAAAATAATGTTGTACAACTCAATATGATATACCTAATTATCTTATAAACTATGAATCGTATATGTATTCATATTGAAACTTCTAAGTTAATTGATAATAATTAATATTTAATATGTTGACAAACAACAATCACAGGCCTTTGTTAAATGTTCATCATAATATTTAAAAATAATAAAGTGTACCGAATAGAAACATAGAATAATAAATTATAATATTGAAAATAACAATTACATATTATTATATTAATGGCCAATGGGTATTTCTGGAGCTGAGTCCGTTGTTTGTCATGACTTCCGTTTTCAACATTTTGTAAAAATATGTTTTTAATAAATAATCTCAAGATAAAAATAATACGATATAACTTGGTTAATGAGTACTCAAGTTACAATATTGAGAACTTTACAAAAGTAGTTGAGACAAGCCTCGCCGCAACTATTAGTCATAATAGGGACACAGTAAAAATGTATGGCAATCTGCAGCCACGATGCGTCAAATGCCGTGAAGATCATTTATCAGAAGATTTGACTAAATATCACAATTCACAATAGCGATTCCAAATGTTCTATCTGCGCAAACGACCACTCATCCAGTTTTAAGGGATATACAGAAATACAGTATTTAAAGCAATCCTCAGGAACGTCTAAAAAATAATCATTTCAACTGTCAAGTGACACTCTAATCCTAAAGAAAATTTTTCCGAGCGTCTCCCCCAATACATTCCTAAGCCAATCCGTCATATGCTTCTATTACTTATGCAGGTCTTAAACCGAATAGCTTATCTATAATTTATAAATCCAAACATAAAATTAGAATTATCAAGCTTCCTTTCTGACCTAGCATCTATAATATTATATTATTCAATCCATTCTCACCGCTGCACTTAATAAACAAATATTAACTGCCTTATGTAACATTGTATATAAGTTATAACTAAAAATTATCTAGCTTATGTCTCTACTCCATTTATTTGTGATACTAATCTGTAAATTGTAACTATTAGCTAACTACTGTATTATATGTTAGATTATACGATATTTACAAATTTAAATTGCTAATAGCTATAGATTTTTACGTTTTTGTTACGTCATTTTTTTTTTTTGTCATATTTGTTTTTTTTACATCTTATATATACATGAAATGAGATATGATAATATGTAGTGGACTGGTTGACTGTTGAATATAATCTGGCAGGATGGTGACTAGTCAACTATCGACTAGTAGGTCCGTCGCTTAAACTCGGCAGGGTCCCCGGTTGTCGCAAGATAGGTTTGATGAGGGTTTCGGTGATTTAAGGTGGAAACGTTTATATAGGGTTTTGGCGACGTTTTTTACTGTCGGAATGAGGAGGTCCCTGTGGAGGGTATCATTTGTAACATAAAAAGGGGCTTTAGTTATCTGCCTGAGGCATTTGGATTGAAATGTTTGGATTCGGTTTATATTGGAGTCTTTGGCTGAACCCCAGAGTTGGATTCCGTAGGTCCAGATAGGTTTGAGGAGTACTTTGTACATGAGGATTTTATTGTGTAGTGAGAGATGTTTGGATGATAGGAGGAGGCGAAGTTGTCTTTGACGATTATTTAGTACAAGTCGTTTGTTACGTATGTGGGTAGCCCACGTGAGTCGACGATCTAGGCATAAGCCTAGGTAACGGACATTTTGAGCGATCGGGAGTGGTTGGTTGTTGAGTGTGATAGAGGGACAGCTTATTGGTTTGAGAGTGAATGTGCAGTGAATGGATTTGGATTCATTGAGTTTGAACCCCCATTCTTTGTACCATGTCGAGAGGATGTCAAGTTACGTCAATTTAAACGTAATATTTAACAATATAAAATTAAAATATAATTTAGAATATAAAAATAATATATGCTATATTATTGCTATATATCATATGCTTTCAACTTAGTGGCTGTATATGGAATGCTTTACTTTGGTAGTTAGTAAAACTGTACAAGTTTTAAATTACATATATAGGTATTACTCTATAGACAATTCCAGAACAAGTACTAAGTAGTAAGTATTAATTTATCTCTTTAATATTGTATTGTATCGCTGCAACTTGCAAGGAAAAACAAGGAAACTATAATATATTTTTTTTTCTTGAAAATCGGCTGGTGTGCTCTCCAATAATAATATATTAATCGCAATGAAAATAATTAATGTATATTATTTATATTAGAGGCAAAGAAGAAAATAATAAATTAATATTAAATAAAGAGACTTGTAGAATCTATATAGCACTACCTATAATTGTATGTAACACATGGTATGCATATAATATTATACGCCTGTTTTATGTACTCGTTACTTGTTATTAGGTTAACCCATGATTAACGTGTAATGTGCATATTAATACATTATTATTAAATTACTTGTTAACCCTCGATGATAACTGCAATAAGTTAATCGAACTATATATAGAAAACCGCATGATATAGACTTTTGACCACTGTGATTGATGTTAAACTAATGGGATTAACATTACTACTAAATAAAGTTGAATAATAAAGATGTGAAGTTCTAATTGGATAACCATAACAAGAGCCAACAAACTCGGAGTGAAAACCAATATAATATACATATATTAATATTATACACCCCTAATATTATGATCTATTGTTTTTATTTATTTAAGAATAGTGTCAATAATAAAATATGGCACAAGGAACAATCTTACTATAGAAGATTACCTCTTCACAATTTTATAATTATCTTCCTTAAATTAAATATATTCTTTTTTAATAAAATAAAAATTACAATCAGTTAGTAACTTTTATAGGTAGGTACTAATTTACATATTATATGCGTTGAAATATATAATGTATATTGTATGATAAATAAAAAATACTTAAGAATAATTGAGACATGCATTCATGAGACAACGATAGTGAAGAAAACCATCCAATTGCAGAACTACAAAGTTTTTTTACATTATTAAATTATATATTTAAAAAATAATTTAGTTTGAGGAATACAATTATATGAAAATATTTTTAGAGACTTTCGGGAAAATGTTAGGTCTCTAGTAAGTTTTCTCTAAATAGCTTCGTATTTACAGATTTTATGATGATACCCTATTTAATTATATATATGTATAATATATTTTTTAATGAAAGTATGAAACAATACGATAGAACGGTTCAAATTCATTCGCTTTTATAGTTTTAAATAACTACCTATAGGTAGAAGTCGCATTAATTTTATAGTATACGAACATAATACCTATTATAATTAATAAATAGATAAATAATAATAAATAAATAAATAATAATAAATAAATAAATTATAATTAATATTATGTACCTCGTACATAATACCTATTATATGGCCTACACTCCTGTAAAGTTTGACCAGTTTTTTTTTTATATTTATCACTTACAAAAAAAAAAAAAGAAGACGTTTGGTGAGAATTTATTTTCATTGCATACTTGCATGAACAAAATATATCTAAAATCTCGTAAATGAGCCGACCGAATATACCAGTCATAGATATTATACTCGATTTTGAAATATACGAATTTGCATTGGAATTTTTAAGTTTCTCAATATATTATATATATTGATACAATTCATTAGTAATAATGTTGTGTAACGTGATATGAGAATGGTTTAAAAAACAAACAAGACCATTAATAATTATATTAAAATAAAGTTAATTTTGTGACGGCTTTAAGGCTGAAAGGTAGTTGGAGCTGTTTAATCAGTTTTCTCTGTATCAGTATATACAATTAAATATAATATACATTTTCTATTCTAATCCACCATTGGAAATTCCCATGCTTTCTTAAAAAGCATCAATAATTTCTTTAAATTAGTGTAACATAATATGGATACCACATACCTATTAAAAAAAAAAAATTAATATTTATAAAGTGAATTTTATGTAGGTACTTATAATGATATATAATAATATATTGATGGTATAGGTACTCTACTATCTACATGGTTACGCGTCTATGCTGCTGTAATACTATGTACGCGCATTGTTCTACCCTCATTAACTCATGCACTGCAGATACATTAAAATGTTTAATCGTCATTGAAATGATTTACCAGAATAAGTATTGTTGTTTATTTTTTTATTCAAGATATAATTTAGGTACTTTAAAGGTATTATAATTTATAATTTTAAATGCATTTAAGAATAAATACATATAGATACCTAATCAAATGCAATGTTGAAACGTACCTACATAATTGAGCCAATTGCAACGGCTAACGGCCATTTGTAAACCAAAACTTTGAGTGATAAATGCCACTTGTAATTTTCAATTGTAAGCCGTTGACCTCGAAGTTAAACTCATTATTAGATTATTTTATTGATTTTAGAGAGTTAGTGTGATTCAGTTAATGTTGGAGTATGATTTTTAAGCTTTTAACTGATAATATTTAGTTGTACGTACATCATGTATTTGGATGTAATGGAGTACAAGTACTTAAACATTTTGAGTACCTAGTTAATTAGTTAATTTTAAAAACGCAGTATCGTCTTTAATTCAACATATTAAGAAGTAAAATAACTTTTCAACTAGAAAAAAAAACAATAGTAGTATAGTATTTAGTAAATAATTAAAAATAGGTTTAAAAAATTGCAGTAA